TTTTTTTTTTTTTTTTTTTTTTTGTACAGATTGGTTACTAAAAAGTGTATTTTTACAGTGTTGGTTTTTTCTTTTTTAAATTGCTTTCCTTTATTCCAATTAATTTGTGTTCTGTCTTGCATCATAAAAGTGGAACATTTTTTAACATGCAGTATAATGTACCAGTTACAAACACAATAAATTCTGGTGAATACTGATGGTGCCTTTGTATTTTAAGTGAAACATCATACAATAAATAACAGTGTGTGTGCAAACACGGCCTTTTCTTCCTCCCTATGTGTTCCTGTAGATTTCCCTTTCGTGTCATGCTTTTATTCAAATTTCCCAATGATTTTGAAGGATTTTCTTAGTGATTCTGGGAAAACAATTTTACTCTGCTGTCAAATTAAACAAGACTGTTTGGTGTTCAGTATCACTTGGATATTCTTCAGGAATGATCAGAGCCCAAATGGAGGTCATGTGTTCCATGCAGTGGTGTTCACTGTATTGTGTGCTCCTCGTGTTCACATGCCTGGAACTTGGGAAACAATACACTTAAAGAGTATACTGTGCCTATACTTATCCTGGTACAAAAATGAGTGTATGCTTCAGAACCAGAAAAATACCAGTAACAGTTGTGGCTCAAGAGTGTGGAGAAGCAGGACTGGCTGTCTGGGGAGGTAGACTGCAGGGAAGTGAGGTAGGGGAAGGATGATGGGGAAAGGCTAAGCACATGCCACTGGTATAGAAGTAGATCAGGGCTTCCTTGAGCCTTACTCATCTTTTCCTGGGAACTGAACCAGAATAACTTGGCTCCTGGGGCAGGATACCCTGTCATAGAAGGAGCCATCAGTGGAGGGGCTGCCTATGACCATTTTCACACTTTTCATACACTGATTAGCATGGGGCCTAGGTTATGAGAGCTGGGGCTGGACTAGACTTTTCACAAATTTTGGGAAGGAAGTTCAGGCCCCCAGTTCTGTTTTGGGCTGCTGTGCAAGATGGAATCAGTGCCAATGAAGCTGGCTCCCTTGGAGCCAAGCTGAAGAGAGTGTGGCTTGCGGTCATGGTATTGTGTTGCATTGGCCCCATACTGTCCGGTGGGGAGGGGCCCTGTACAATGTACACAATGTGAACTGTAACTGCACTGCTCCTTGGCAGAACACTTGTGCCCATTACATCACAGCCCGGTACAGTCGATTGTTGTATAGACTCAAGAGAAGCTATAAGTGCTGCCATTGATACGTGGGGTCCACAAAAGAATGTGTAACACACAGATGGGCAGCTTTGTGAAGCCTGGCCTGATTGTGGGTTGTGCATTGGCTCATGCTGCTTTATGCTGAATAGCTCCTCTTCAGATACCCAAAAGGCTTGATTGAATTTCCCGGCAAAAGCTGTTTGAATAGTAACCTGCAAACAAGCCTGTTGGGCTGAGAGAGAAAAATGCAGAGGTATGCAGTAAAGTGTTTGAACAGAACTGCTATTCAAATTGCATTTCCTCCCCAGCTTCCCCATGAATAAAAATGTATCTAGGATTTTTGTAAGTCAGAGAAGGATCAAAGTATATGAGTAGGCAGCTGTGTCCTAGGGAACCCTGTCTGGGTTTTGCGACGCAGGTTGCAGCATTAGTGAAACGATGGAACTTGGAAGCTGGCTACAGGCATTTAGTGAAACCTTCATCTTGTGGCCGGGGGCTTTGCCTTGTCCCTCCCATGGGAGGTCTGAGGAGATGTGGATTAGTTCTCAGGGCCTTGGAGGAGCCCATGAGTTGCCAGTCTGCCCCTCCAACAATGCTAAACTGGAAAAGTCCTTGTATCAGCATCTGCAATTTGAGCTGGCTCCAGCACAGGTGAGACAGAGGTATAGGGAGAGATGCCCATCTTCTTGCCCCATAGGGGATGGATGCAGTCTGGCCTGACATGTCTCTTGGTTTTTACTTTGTTTCATGCTGCTCTATCCTCTCTGCAAAAGTGCAAAGCCCCTTCTGCATCCTCCAGGCACCTTTTTGATGGGCTCCCACCTGCCTGCTTGAGGCACATGCCTGTGTATTACCTCAGTCCCACTGCTCTGTGGTACCAATTGTGACCCACAGTTCTCCATGCAGGTGTCTGTCAGCCAAGATGTCTGGGTGCTATTCCTGGCTTATTGGATAAATTGGCTGGTGACTTGCATCCCCTGTAAAATGGAGAATGTAAGGTGCCTGTGTGAGGACATCACATGAAATCCAGGCATTCTTCTTCCCTTTGAGTACAGATAAGTTTTGCTTTGTTTGCAGCAAGCCCAAATGCATGCTGTCAGCAGAGTCACAGCTGGATGTCAGAAGATCCTGTGCTTTCACCTACTCTTAAGTTTTAGCAAAATATAGAGCCATAGCAGTAGTGACACATGAAAGTTTCTTCAAAAGATCTCACAGTCAGAAATACCCTGCCTGCAAAAGCTTTTAGGCTCCAGCCAGCTCTTGTTTTGATAAATAGCTGTTTGAATGTTGTCCAGTTTCCTTCACTCATATTAGACTACAAGACTATCAGTAGCACCTTCTTAGAGCTCTTAGTAAAATATATGACAGAACTGTGCAGTCAAATAGCTCCCTGGGGCCCTCTTTGGGCTCAGTGCTGTGTCAATCTCTGCTTCACATCAATGCAAGTGTCATTTCTGTCTTAGATTTCCATTTAGCTGAAGCCTCAGTCTCTCATCTGTAAGAACTGCTTTAAGGTAACTGTCTCAGGGAGACCCATAGCCTGAGAGTGCAGGAGTTTCATCAGTCCCTGTGATCTTGGTGCACAAAAGCAGGTCAGTGTTTATTTTCCCAGAGCCTGTCTCATGGATTCTTATCTTCTTCCCTGAGCTCATCATTTACTGGCAGAGTAAAAGTCTTGCCCTTGGGCCTCTTTTAATTTTCACTGCAGATAGGAACTGTGAAAGGGATGGTTTCCATTAAAAGCTGATCCATTTTTGAAATCCACAGGGTTTGGCTTCCTCCAGGACTGAGACTGAACAAAATGCAATTTCTACAACCGGGTTGGGATTCCCTGGCTGCAGAGTTCAGAAGTGTCTGGATTGTTTGTCTCCATTTTCAGGCTTTATGACAGATGCCAAAGTGGAGTCCAAATCACCACTTGAACAAACCTTGGAGTCATGGGAAGCCCATGATGAATTTTTGGTTGGAAGTGAGCGGTACAGGAGAGGCAGAGGAGTTTGGAGGGGAGCTGAGCTCCGTTTCAACTTCTGAAAGCCAGTTTAAGGCTTGTAGCTGATTCTTCTGAAATTCATCTGGAGGATGGGGTGAATGCGAGCCCACCCACATGGGAACTTTGTTGGGGGTCCCAAGGCAAGAAGGGGGCATTCAATGCCTTGAGGTTCAGAACTACTGTTCCTCCTCCTCCCCTCCTTGCTTTCTCCTCAGCTCTCACCAGGAGACATGCTCTGGTCAGTGCAATGGGCTGCCTCTGCATTTTCTTGGGTTACAGGTTGATGATGTTTGATTCCAGATCAAATCCATAAAAGACCCCAGGGAGGCTGTTCTAAGGAAGGAAGAACGTTTATTTCTGGAAAGGAAAAGAAATAGTCAAAGTAAAAATAGGAATCTCTGTAAACTTCAGTGCACAGTGTGAGCTGTAACCTGCCAAGTGCTTTGAAGGTTATTAGTGCTGGCTGCGGTGAACGGACAGCTTTTGGAGGGAGCACAAAGAACTTCAAGCTCTTCATTTTTAAAGGATCAGAGCACAAATACCTGTTTATCACATTTCTAAAACTAGATGCCTGCAGGACTGCCCAGATCCTGAACACCACTGGCCTGTGTAAGATGGAGATGGCCTTTCAGGAGCATTTGTGGCTCTGGAGGACTTTGGCTCTTGTTCACAGAGTTAAAACCTCAAAAGAGTGTAAAATTTAATTCTCCTGGGTGGAAATAGAGCCCCATATCCTGTGTAACATCAGCTGCAGAGCTGGGCAGGTTACACAGCTGGAATTTCTCCTGGCTTAGCACAGAAGTACGTTAGGGTCCTATGGCAAGTCTTCAGTCAACACTAGTAGGAGCAGGAGCAGCCTGATTGTCCTGGAGACAAAGGGCAGCCTAGTGTTCAGTGCACTTGAGAAACCTGGACTCAGATGATGATATCTCTATGTGGCTTCCTTCCCCACCTGTAAAATGGTGAGAGTAGAACTTCCTTACCCCACAGGGTGTAGTGGTGGTAAAATACCTTCAAGTCTGTGAGGTGCTCAGCTATACAGCAACCAGGGGACTGTGTCAGCACCTAAGATTGAACAGATGGTTCACCTGCCCCTCTCTAATAGACCTGGCTTTGGGGCTCTACTTACAATGACCCATTCCTGGACAAGGCCCTCTTTTAAGTTTGTGATCTGCAGTAGAGCCCAGTGCTGTATTCTTCCCATGTTCAGAGCTCACATTAAACCTGAGTCTCCACAAACCCATCAGCTCAGATTCCTCCACTAAGGCTTAATCGGTTCAGAGGTTCATCATCCTAGCAAGTAAAATAAC